ACTTCCCTTTTTTTTTTTTTTTTTTTTTGCTGATTGTTTGTCATTGTTATGTGCTGTGGTGGTGGTGCTGGTGTTGTTGCCGCTTCACTGGACTCACAGCGGATCCTGCGACTGAAGCAGTAATTGGTGGTGTTGAGCTCAACTTCAGAGGGTTCCCAGCTGTACCAGTTCGTATAGCAAATCATTCAGGAGAGACGCTAGTGGGCCAATTGATTGAAGCTGGGACCACTGACATAAACATTCTCTGCCATGGATTTCGGTCCTCAATGGTTAGTGCACAGCTCCCTCTGTCATTGCCCATCCCTCCTCAGTCACCCTGTTCTTCTGCACACTTTTCCGTTGTGAAATGAAAGCAAAAGCTACCGTCTTCACCTGAACAGAATGCCCTGTCATTATAGCTGTATTTGGTGCAACTTTTAGTCTAGATACAGTGATAATGACCGAGCGTTCTATTCGGGTGAAGATGGCTTTGAGTATCTGCTGCTTGGAAGGTATAGAGCAGAACTGCAGCAGGAGGTGCTCAGTAGCTTCTGCTGGTGGCGAGCAGAAAGATCGTGAAAGAATAAAAGCTTGTATCTGCTGCTGAGAAGGCCTGGGAACTGGTTTGGCAAATAAACCTCACACGTGGTTAACCGGGGGTGTTTTCTTCGTTGAATTATGGGCCCATTATGGGCCCGAAAGGAGTCAACCCTTTCTTAACCGCCCAAGTAAGCTCTCCATTAATAATGAATTTCAGTGGACCTCTATTTAACCTGGCCTATAGCCAGGGCTATGTGCCTGTTCGGCCTGTGGGACCAGGCCGCTGGCCTGATCTCACAGGCCATGTGGATATTCAGTCCAAGTCCAGTCCAGTCCGGTACCACTGTTGGTACCAGTCCAGTCCAGTCCAGTCGGTCCGCTGGGGGTACACCCCAGCTGCAGTCTGTGCTGTGCGTATTCTTCACTTTGCACATTTGGAGTACGTGCGTGTTGAGTCAACAGCAGAGCTGCGTCTCTCTCGTCCGCCATCACCGTACCCCCAACTCTCTCCCCCCTAACCTAGACTGCAGCTTCTACCACAACAGCTCCGGGGCAGTATGGTAGACCAATATTAGTGCAGTCCTGTTGAAAAGGGACCTGCACAAGGGCCCTACTGCTTTACTACCAAGCCTCTATGCAGTCTCCAAAACCTCTCCTGCAGGGTTTAGAGGTCTTTGGAGTGTCGTGTTTTTCTTTTTTTTTTTAACTTTTTTCTTTTTCAATACCACTGCTGTATCCTGGCCTAAATCAGGGGCCTGGTCCCACTAGCAGGGTTGAGTTTCCTCAATGCCCGAATCTGGACGTGTTTGTGGATATATGCGGTTGAGGAAACTCAACGGATTTTCTGCACATCTCGACAAGCGCGTCCAGATTCGGGCATTGAAGAAACTCAACGCTGCTAATGGGATGAGGCCCCGGGGCCAGTGACCAATCTAGCCGTTTCGGACACGAGCATCACTTTTCCCGATTGCCATTGGGTTACCAATTGCCACCTGTGGTTCCCCTTTGTGGACTGGCTACCGTCTTCCCCTGAATATAAGGGCACCCTGATAATGAATAACCTATCTTTCTTGTCAAGTACAGCCATAATGAGGGCGCTTTGTGTTCGGGCGAAGACAGTAGTTGAGTGGGGGCAATCGTGATGGTGGTTAAAATTAAAGTAAAAAGAAAAGAAAAAAGAAAAGAAAAAAGAAAAGAAAAAAGAAAAGAAAAAAGAGTGGGGACAATCATGATGGTGGTCTAGCAGTTAAACCACCAGTACCTACCACATTTTCCGTACCCCCCCAGATTGAATGAATATGGACCCGACCGGCAGACCGATTAGGCTTCCGCGTTAACAGCCACAACAACCAGTAGGTAACCAACAGGTTTCCTCATTTCATGGAAACAGCTTCACAAGTGATGGCAGGCCAGTTAGCTCCTCTGAGGGCGAGGCCCAACTAGTGCTATGTTTGTGCTTTGGGGAGCATGAACCTTCCCATACATCTGCCCTGATCCATACTAGCGTACCTCAAAGATAAGCACTAGTGGGGCCTGGCCCTGGGACTCTTTCCTGAGGCTGGCAACTGGGGCACCTGTGATGCTGTGAACTTAGACTCCTGGTGCGAGGTCCTGGCTGGCCAAGTTCCTCATTTCTGGCCATTGATTGATCTCTTAAAGCACCTTAAACCACCACTACCTCTCCCAGGCAAACTTTAGCAATGATTTTGACCGCCAGCTCATTCTTCAGGGGCTTGGCTCCCTGTCCTTCTTTTGGCTGGCGGCGCCTGCCAAAACGAAAAGATAGCCGCCCCGGTTTGTTTTGGAATTAGCATGCAGCAGAAATCCGCCACGAGAAAAAAAGAGGCTTGGATGGTTCATATTTGTGGTGAATATCACCGTGATTAGTTGCATAATGAGCACGGAATACCACCAAGATAATGATAGGGACACACTGGGGCACTTCCAAGCCTATGTCCAACCTATGTGTATCGAGCTGTTATCTGTTGAAAGCTGGGAGGGGAAAGGTAGGGGTGGGAGTCGAGGAGGGGTTGTACAACAGTATAGGGTTAAACCACCAGTACTTCCTAAAGCCGTGCCCGTGTACAAGCCACAATTTTAGGAAACGTATGGGCCACTACAGGAGCGCCCAAATTCATCCAACTAGAAGTGTTTCTACTGTGTTTTTTTTTTTCCGTGGCCGATAGCGGGGGCAAGTACTGGTGGTTTAACCGGGCCTCTCGGGCATCCTTCACGATGGATAGACAGTGGCTATAGCTAGCCAATCACAGGTCTTACCTATCGTAATCTTGCCTGCAGGAATGCCATGAAGCAGCGTTAGCAGACCCTGGACTGTGCAGTGATCTTCAGGTGTGTTCAATGATCTGCAGATGGTAGAGAAAACCGTGGGTGCTGGATTGGCAATCGAACTGTGCAACCAGGGCGGTCACAGAAAGGGAGCGATGGCTTAGGCCAGCTAAGAGTATATGTATTCCCGGAGTTCTCGTTTGCTCCAAAACCCTTGTCATCCTCTTAAACTCTCAAGACTAAATGTTTAAACCACCAGCAGTTTGCCCAGCCATTTTTCTCCGACGCGGCCGTTAACTCGCCGCAAGTTTTGCTGGTCGACCTACCGGGCAAAATGGCTGGCAGCGCCAGCCAAAAAGAGGCCTGAGCCACTTCGTTTTTCCTTTGTCGTGCAGGGCCTTTTTGAGGCTTGGCAAGGGAAGGGTCAAAAGTACTGGTGGTCTAGGTATCTGGTTAGCCTAAGCAGGTTTTACTCTTGACAGCCTGAAGGAACAACTCCCTTAGATCCCAGAGTGGATGTGACCGAAAGAGTATGCTATGACTGGACGACTCTTTTACTACTAGTAGGCCTCTGGATTCACACAATTTCACAGTTACGAAAGGCCGGGAAGGGTTTACTATGACCTTGGCTGGATCGTGTGGTACATGTGATTTCTTTGTAATACTTTTATTTACATCATTAGTTGAAATCCCGAGGGATTTAGTTATTTGAGTGGCTAGTAGGCTACTCCCTTTTTCTTAAAAAAAACAGGAAATCAATTTAAAGAGATTTAATAACCCTTCAGGTGTGAACCATTCATTCTTCTCTCATTTTTCTAAACTAAACTTTTGTTTGCACTGTTTCCAACTTTGCTCAGAAAAAATGGGGGGAAGCACAGCCCATTGAGGTGTGGTGGTGGACCTGTGCCACTTGCAGGCGTGAAAGGGAAAAGAGCGAGGCTTGATCACAAATCTAATTCTTAGGGCTTCCAGGTGGAAAAGGAACCAGGCTGTCCTTCAGGACATCCACTAAAATTGCAACCATGCGGGCAAGTGCTCCAAATGAGCAAAAGAAGGAACCAGGCTGTAGCTCCCCAGAACGGAAAGAAGCCGCAGTTAAAAAAAAGGGAAAAAAGAAAAAGAAGCGGAAGCCATGAGAACTTGTTTTCAACAAGAAGAACTAAGGAAAACGTTTCCCCTGTTTTTTTTTCTTTTTCTTTTCAAGGCTCCTCAGTCCTGAGTGATTAACACTCAGGTAGAATAGTGGGAATAGGGGTACGCTGGGAGGATTGAGGATGGGTAGAGAGGTGGTCTCACAAGTAAAAATTGTCAGGACAAGCAATGGCTGACTGATGACTGCGACCACTGTATGTCTGGAACCTGGCCTCTACAACAACCTGGGCCAGGGTTGTTATGCAGGGATCCATGGGGGCTGAGCCGGGGTTGCAGTTTGACCCCCGGACCCCCGGGGTGCAGGGATCCCGGGGGGTTCAAATTTTGAAAAAAAAATTATGGTTTCCCTGGACCCCCCCAAAGGAGAAATGGGGGGAACCACTTTTTTTCTATCCAAAATCTGGTTCCGGGGCCCCAAAAAATTTACGAAGACCCCTGCCCCC